ATAACCTCAAAAAATTTTAATATTAAATTCAACTCTTTTAAGGTTTTGAATCGATGGTACTTACACCCAGTCAGGATGCATAGAATTAACCCAAAGTCACAGAAATTTTGCTGGAAAAAATGCGGGCTAATAGCAGATTACATTCACTGCTAGTGGCATTGCCCTGTAATTAACAATTTTTGGCATAAAGTTTACATACAGATAAAAGATATCTCTGGAATTACCTTACCATTTAGACCAGAAATATCATTGCTGGTGCTTGGTCAGGCATACCTGAAAACAAAACAAAACATATTTTAGGGTCAACTTTACTCACGATTGCTAGGTTATGTATTGCCCAAAAATGGAGAGACACATTAGGTCCTACCATTCAGCAATGGCAAAATAAACTGTGGGAACACAGGGGGGTACCTCTGCAGGAAAACACCAAAAACTATTTCAAGAGGTTTGGTTCCGTCATTAAATACCTGACTGAGGGGGGAGTCATCCCAAAAAATACGTATTACCAAAGTTTGCTATATTTTTAACTCAATGTTTCTGAACAAATAATATATTTATTTATTTATTTATACCTTCGGCTTATATACCGCCCTGACCCCGAAGGGTCTCTGGGCGGTTTACATAGTGGTTCTAACCAACCAATTAACCTGACTAGGGCCACATTATCTACAGGGTGGTGACTGCCTACCAGCACCTCGGGCTGGTTGTCATCCGGTTTCCTTCCGCAGCTTCAGATATTGGCGTCCTGGTGCCCTTCCTGGAGCCGATCTTCCCCGAGCAGCTTCTTCCGGCAGGTCTCGTCTTGGCGCGTGGCTCTGTGTTGGCTGCAGTTCCTGCTACTGTCCACAGGTGGCTCCTCCGTGCTGCGCCGCACGTCACCACGCTCTCCAAGGCTCCACTTTCTCCAGGCTCCACCTCCGACGTTGCTCCACCGGGTCGCCAGGAACTGCTCTGCCGCCATCGTTGCCGCCGCCACCGCCGAACCCTCTACCTCACAAGGAGGAGGGGTGCCCCCTGCCACCTAGGGCAGGTACCCACTTTATCTACTTGCATTTATGATGCTTTCGAACCGCTGGGTGGACGGGAGCTGGGACGTGGGCCGGGAGCTCACCCCGACCGCGGTGGGTTTCGAACAGCCGTAATGGCTGTTCATTGATGTTACTTTGCAGGCATACCTGAATGCTTGATAGCTTACCTGTAAAATGAGAGTTCCTCTATTCCTGACTATTCCTTACGTTGTAGGTTTTACTTGTTGTTATTCTTTCTTTTTTACCTTTGAAAAATAAAAATAAAATTATTTTTTAAAAGTCAGGAAGGAGAGGTAGGGCTGAGTCATTATCTTGTAGGAGTTTTCCAGGCTGTGACACGCTAATGGAGGAGCTTTCCTCAGGAGGTTCTTTTGCATATGGATTGGCTGTTAAAATTCTAATCTTATCTGTAGTACTGTTGTAAGATTTAGAGCATTTTGTGTTTTTCAGGACAGTTTGCTCTATTTATTTTTAAAATCTCTTATTTCCTGTTGAAATTGTGTTTATGTTTATGAACTTCAATGGCTTCCCTGTCTGTGTAATCTAACATGGTAATTGGATGTGTTGTCCAGCATTTCAGTGTCTTGGAACAAAATACTGTGTCCTGTTTGAGTTAGGCTATGTTCAGCCACTGCTGATTTTTCAGGTTGGTCAAGTCTGCAGTGTCTTTCATGTTGACGTCTGTCACTACTTCCACAACTTCCCCTTCTATTTGCCAAGGAGTGATGGGGCCGGATGCCATGATCTTAGTTTTTTTAATGTTGAGCTTCAAGCCCACTTTTGCGCTCTACTCTTTTACCCTGAGCAAGAGGCTCTTTAGCTCCTCTTCACTTTCTGCCATCAGAGTGGTATCGTCTGCATATCTGAGGTTGTTGATCTTTTCCCCAGCAATCTTAATTCCCGTTTGTGATTCATCTAGGCCAGCATTTCGCATGATGTACTCTGCATATATATTAAATAAGCAAGGCGACAATATACATCCTTATCATACTCCTTTTCCTATGCTAAACCAATCAGTTGTTCCATATCCGGTTCTAACTGTCGCTTCTTGGCCCTTATACAGGTTTCTCAAGAGACATGTGAGGTGGTCTGGTACTCCCATCTCTTTAAGGACCTGCCATAGTTTGTTGTGATCCACACAGTCAAAAGCTTTAGCATAGTCAATGAAGCAGAAGTAGATATTTTTCTGGTACTCTCTTGCTTTCTCCATAATCCAGCGAATGTTGGCAATATGATCTCTCGTTCCTCTACCTCTTCGAAACCCAGCTTGTACTTCTGGCAGTTCTCTATCCATGTACTGTTGAAGCCTAGCTTGTAGGATCTTGAGCATGACCTTGCTAGCGTGTGATATGAGTGCAATTGTGCGATAGTTTGAACATTCCTTGGCGTTGCCCTTCTTTGGGATTGGAATGTATACTGATCTTTTCCAATCCTGTGGCCACTGTTGCGTTTTCCAAATTTGCTGGCAAATTGAGTGCAGCACTTTAACAGCATCATCTTCTAAGACTTTGAATAGCTCAGCTGGAATACCATTGTGTTTTTTCATAAGTTCCCCCATCTGATCAGTGATTCCTTTGATATATGACAAAAACACTTTTCCTGTGGGAGACTGTTTTTCCTTAGTTGTTTGTTTTACCTTTGGTTTAATCACTCTTCTGTTTTTACTCCTGGAGTAGCCATTTTCTTGAAGTGAGTGGTTTAGATGATTTAGTTCATCGTTGAGAATGTGCGATTCACATATCCGTCTTGCACCATCTACTAATGTTTTGATTATGCCTCTTTTTTGCTGAGGGTGGTGATTGGAGTTTTTGTGTAAATAACAATCCATGTGAGTTGGTTTTCTGTAGACCTTGTGACAGAATTGAAGGTTAGCTTTGCGGATGACCATGATATCTAGAAATGGGAGTTTACCCTCAATTTCTTTTTCCATGGTGAATTGTAATTGAGTAGATATAAATTACCTGCCTACTATTTTTCTTCTCACATTGACACAGAGTACTCCATCTTTCTGTGTTAAACCTCTGAGGATGCCAGTCACAGCTGCTGGCAAAACATCAGGTACTTCAATGCCAAGACCAGAGCCATACAGCCCGGAAAAACTTCAAAAACGAACGAACTCCGGCCGTGAAAGCCTTCGACAACATGTTGTTTTTACTGTTTATTGAAATGGTATATTCGCATTTTGTATATTGCTTGGGTCCCCACTGGGGAGAAAAGTGGGGTGAAACTAAACAAACAAACATTGTTCAGGTTTAAAGCATTGCCAACGCACTGTATTGTGAGCAGTGGCGAGTTAATAAATGAAGTATAACATAGATAAATGAAGTATAATATAGCACAACTCATTTGGGACCAGTTCTGCTGCAGCAGAGCAGTTTGTAGGATCAAGAGGCAGAGCAAAACTGGACCCTGTGTCCTGGTGTGGAATCAGACTCTGGTCTGGCGCAGCTGTGCCAGTACTACCTTCTGTTACCATTGTGCAGCTCACACAGAGATACAAGTCTCTGGTGGAGCTAGTGACACTCATAAGTCACAGGAGTCCTTCTGGGGCAAGGCCCACAGAATAGCAAGAAAAGTTCTATTAAAAAAAAACCTTGCTTAAGTTTGGAAAAGCTGGATACATAAAACGTATCATGCCAGCATTTGTGTTATGTGTTCTGGGAGACCAACAAATGATTACAGAAATCTGACACAAAACACTTGTGTGAATTGTGTACTGCGCAGGTGCCTTCTGTTCACCAGGTTCTTTTTGACATGGCTTCTGTTCAGTGAAGCTCTTCCCATCAATGCATTTGTGTGCCTGGGAACTTCACTTGTTGAACAGGCACTGGTCACACAGCTATTAAAAGCAGAGGAAAATAATGAGAACAAAACTTGACAACTCTAAGTAGAACCACTGGAGCCTTAGAGACCAATAAGATTTTGTGGGTATGAGCTCTCGAAAGTTACAGCTCACTTCGTCAGATACAATCTGACAAAGGGAGCTTTGACTCTTGAAAGCTGCTACCTGGAAATCTTGTTCGTCTCTAAGTTACTACTGGATTTGAATCTAGCTGTCCTACTACAGACCAACATAGCTACCCTCTGAATCTAAGTATAACCGTCTGTCTCTGATCTAAGAGCCTGACAACTTGGCTTGTAAGATGTCCTGGGCAAATTCAGGACCCGGAAGGCTGCCGTGTATTACATTTTATTTCTTGTATTTTATCATATAGTATAAACGTGTTTCCTCACTGTGTAAGTCTTTTCACTCAGGTACTGCTATTTTTAACATATAATTGTTTCTCTATTTGACTCTTGATTTCTAATACTTTCCTTCGGGTAGAATAAAGTCCTGGTTTCAAGGCCAGTGGATGGTTCATTAGGCATACAGGGTAATTGGTTGGCCACTGTGTGAAACAGAATACTGGACTAAATGGACTACTGGTCTGAATCCCCCAGGGCACCTCTGAAGCAGTGTTCCCTCTAAGCTGAGTTAGTGTGAGTTAGCTCACAGTTTTTTAGCTTCCGGCTCACACATTTTTCTCTTAGCTCAGGAAGGATGGCTCCAGAGCAAACCAATTTATGCAGGAGCCAAATCGCTCGCTCATAACTTCAATGCCAGTAGCTCACAAAGTAGAATTTTTGCTCACAAGACTCCACAGCTTAGAGGGAGCATTGCTCTGAAGTTCTCTTCTAGATTCTGTTTCCATTCCATCCTATGTGAAAACAAGAAGAAATTAAATTCATTAATGCCAATAAAGTTTACCCAATAAACTATGCAGCCGTTGTCAACGAAATCTAACAACCTGTATGAACGGGGAAAAAATCAGGACAAGTCGCCTGAAATGGCATCCATATAAAAAATCAGGTTTTCAAACGAAACATTTAGAAAATTTGACGTCAAGTGTTAACAAGAAAGCTTTGCAGTGCATGATGGGAGTTGTAGGCAGTTGTGATTCCGGGAGCACAAGCCAATCACATGCTCTTCTTCTTTCGACTGGGTAATGGCCGCTTCCAGGAAGGTAATGTGTGTTTGCTATGTTCTGAGCAAATCGTATGTAGGATGTATCTTTGGGAAGATTCCTGTAATCTTTTTCTTTTATTGGTGGTGGGTGGGATTGTTTTAAGTCTCCTATTATTTATTTACAGCCAAGTTAGCCAAATTGTTTGCAGAGAAGTTGATCTTATATTTTTAGCATGGCTCATGCTACTGCACGTGACTGTTAGGCTCCGGTTCAGAGCTCCGAGTCCTTGAGCCTATACCCTTTCCTGAATCCGGCTTCTCAGCTCTGGCTTGTTCGAATAAGGTTTCGGTCTTGTTCTGTTTAATTGAGCGTGTTTCTTTGGGGCGGGGTGGGCGTTGTTTCAGTAGGTGCTTCGGAGTCTGACGGCTGCAGAATATTCAAGATCCTATCTTTGACGAAGAAGATCGCTAAATACAGGTAAGATTTTAAGAGAAGGACTCTTGTGGGGGACTCCCGTTTTTGTCTCTTCAGCAGAGGTTAAGCAGTCTCTTCATTTCAGTAGAAGCCTGTCGTTTTTGTCTCTTCTTTTCAGCAGAGGTTCTTTGCCTTTGAGTATGTTGGGGTCGATTTCCATGTAGTCTTCTGGGAATTTATGCCAGTCTGTGCCATTGGTTTCAGTAGTAGTAGGCTAAAGTGAGTACGTGCAAGGTTGCACTGTTTGTCTGTCGCTTAATCCCTGGTGTTAATCCCCCCATCGTTGACATTTTACTACCCAATTTGCTGTGTTAGGGGGATTTTAATTTGTTTTTAAATGTACACAACTGCAGTGTCTTGTTCCTGAGGTGCTATATGATTTTTTTTTTAATCAATAGATGTCACCTGTTTTAGTCTAGTGTGTTGCAGTTTTCTGTTGTGCGAGTATCCTTACTTATCTTGCACAACATAGTCCTCAAATGTAGTGGGTTTATTAATTTTTATTTGCCTGGGCAGTGTGTTGTGCCTTACATAAGAGAAGCCAATGTTGGATCAGGCCAATGGCGCATCAGTCCAGCACTGTCACACAATGACCAAAAATACCAGGTGCCATCAGGCGGTCCACCAGTGGGGCCAGGGCACTAGAAGCCCTCCCACTGTTGCCCCCCCCCCCAAGAACCAACAATACTTGCCCCAAACTGAGATTTCCTATCTATACCTTGTGGCTAATAGCCACTGATGGACCTCTGCTCCATGTGTTTATCTAATTCCCTCTTGAAGCCGTCCAGGCTTGTAGCCGCCACCACCTCCTGTGGCAGTGAATTCCATGTGTTAATCACTCTTTGGGTGAAGAAGTACTTTCTTTTATCCGTTCTAACATGACTGCTCAGCAATTTCATTGAGTGCCCACAAGTTCTTGTATTGTGAGAAAGGGAGAAAAGTACTTCTTTCTCTACCTGCTCTATCCCATGCATAATCTTGTAAACATTCTTTAGGAATAAAAAAGCATACTCATCATCTTAGCAGACTGCATATTCCTAAACTTCATTTCTCCGTAACAGTTTTATTATAACTTATTTATTTACTTACTAGTGCAGAGCCCAAAGCTGCTTACATTGTTCTCTGTTCTATTATTACAATAACCCTGCAAGGTTGGTTAGGCTGAGAGTGTGTGACTGCTTAAGGTCACCCAGCAAGCTTCTGTGGCAAAGTGAGGATCTAAACCTGGGTCAGTGTAATAGCTCTGTGAAGTTACATGACATAGATAGCATTTGCTGTAAGCATTGATCTGGCAATACACGTATGTTTGTACACACATGGACACACATACCCCAAATGTATTTGTTTGAACACAGGAAGCTGCCTTCTGCTTAACATCTGTTCTGACTGGTGTAGCTCTCTTGAGTCTGAGGTAGGTCTTTCACATTGCCTCTCACCTGATCCTTTTAACTGGACCTGGGATGTTCTGAATTCAAAACAGATGCTCTGCCACTGAGCCACAGCCCAAAGCAAGGGAGTCTTGGAAAAACTGGTGGTTTTACTGGGTTTTTTTTAAAAAAATTCACATTAATAAATGAGGTGTTATGCTGATAGTGTTTTTAATACATGTGCTTTAGTCATATATCATGCAAACAGATAGTGGTAACTGTTTTACATGAGCTATAGAACATTAGAACAAGCCCTTGATTTATGGGTGCCATATGGAAAGGCAGTACAGATATTACTGTAGGTCTACAAGATCTATGCATGTAAAGCTTCCCCATGTTTCCTCCAAGAACAACTGTATCTGGCCTGAAAATTTTTCTATGCTCTAACCATCATATAGCAATTGGCCCTAACAGCTTGAAGAATCTTTCTCCCAGAGGTTGCATCCAGACATTGTTGGGTGTTCTACTATTGTTATACCATGGCAGTCATTCACAAGTTGAATATTCCTTTGTGGATGTCAGTTCGGTTGTAGCAGAAGAGAGTAAAAGTCTAGTAGCACCTTAAAGACTAACAAAATTTGTGGCAGGGTATGAGCTCACTTCCTCATTGCTCACTTCTTCAGCTACAGACAGACTAACACAGCTACCCATCTTGATCTAGCTCTATTGTGAATTATTGCTCTAGCACAGTATTAAACAATGCCTGCATGCAGCACACACCTCTCCATGCTTTCATTCAAAACATGCCACCAAGAGCTTCCGCAGTCTTTGAGGCAGTTTGTTGCACTGCAGAACTGCTCTTGTAGATAGGAATAATTTTGTATTTTACTGTTATGGATTGGTTTTTCCTGCAGGACAGCACATTTGGGTTTGGGGGGATGACTTTGTACTAATGCATGCGGTACCAGAGCCGTGTGCTCTAATAGGTTTTCATAATAGATCAATCACATCTATTGTCTTTATTTTTCTCTCGATTTGTGTTTTAGATACGCTTAAAGTGCCCACAGTTAGTCTTTTCCTCAAGATCAACTGATCAGCAAGTCGGGAACATGGCTGCTCCAGGGAATGCGTTACATCTCTTCTTGGTGCTTTTTTCGTTGCTGGTTGGAGTTCCAGCTGTGGAAGCTTTGGATACAGGCGACGCACTAGCTATCTTGCTGGGTATGGTTCTCAGTGCTGTTGGACTCTGTGCCTGTTTGGGCTTATATGCAAGAAAACAAAATGGAGAACTGTGACTTTAAGAAAAGATGTCCAGGTCAAGGACAGACAACTTCTTGGTTGGATTGAGATTTAAACATTGAGTTTCTGGTTGTTCCCAAAACTGATATATGAGTATTTAAATCCTTATTGCCATGCTTTGTTGAGGAACAGACACTGTGTCTGATAGAAAGATGTGAAATTGAACTCGTGAGGATATAATGATTTCATATCTTCTGTAATTCAGGTATTGCCTTAAGAGGGAAACAATTGGTTTTATTGCACAGGAAAAATTAAGTATAAAGTTGCATAGGAAAATGTTACGAGGTTCATGAGAAGGCAGATATGCAGAAATCAGTCAAAACTATATGTATGATCTTTTGTAATAGAGAGCTTAGCTTCCTGTTGAAGTAGCTGTTTCTTTCTTAACATCCAAAGTTAATTAGAGCCCCTTTCTGCTGCTATGGAAACTTCTACCTGATATATACCTTCTTGTTATTGTCATGTGTTCTTTTGGGGATCTTTCTGGCTTAAAGAACTGAACTTGAGGAGAACTGGAAGCATATGTGATGCAGAGGGTACACAAGTGTGGCTATATTCCTGCATGTTTCCTGTTTATTTTGGCAGAGTTCCTGGTGGGTTGGGCCCTCAGGTATCTTAAAAATCTTTAAGCTCTTAAATTTCTTAAAAATTTACTTAGGAAAATGTATCAATGCCTAAATATTTTCTGCACTGTTTCCCTCAATTTGTTATTTTCTCTTCTCTAAGACTTTTGAATGAATAATCTAAAGGTATTTAAGGAGGCAAAGTGTTACTGAGAACCCAACCCAACGAATATGCAAAGTCTTCCAGTATAATTAAGTAATTTCCACAAGTTGCATAGTTGAAATAGGGGTGTACAAGCCTCTCTTGAGAGTGCTTCTGACTTCTGTGTTTAATTGAGCACCAAGGTGTACTTAAATTCCTTGCAAGAATTTTGCATTTCTTAAAAGGGGGAAATCTTGCCACAAAACAGAATCAAAAGCATAGGAATATCTGAATGCTTAGTCAGATCTTAGCGTGCAGTCATTGTTTTAAGCTGCATAGAAGGGTCTAACAGTGTATTTTGATGAAAATTAAGCCCAGTGAAATTGATGACTTTAAATGGCAGTTATTATGCATAGGTTTACAGAGCACAATGTATGCTTCCCTTTTGATAAGGTGGCTCAGGGATATGAAGTGTGTTCTAATGGAACACTGGTTTTTACTTCCGCTTACAGACCCAAGAGCCAATGTGTACACTTGTTGTAAAATTTCATGATGCATCATCCTTTTTTAAAAGGCAAGCTCCACTGGTACGAGCACCTTCCTGTTCACTTAAGGAAGTGTGGTAACAAAGTACAAAATACAACAAAATGGAATTACTGAGCAGCAGTAACTGAAAAGTAGAATCTTTTCCATAAGTTTCTCTACACATAGCGAGAGGCCCACCACAACTGGATCATCAGGTATAGTACTGAAGGCTGAAATTAGAGGTGCCATTGTGCTTTGTTAGTTGGGGGCTCCATTGGCACTGCCTATAATGCCAGGTTCCTCTTAGGACTTTATGATCCTTTAAAAAATGAAATAGAAATTCCAATATAGGAGGGAAAGGGACTATTTAAAGCTGTGCTTTGTTTTGTTTTAGAATTTTGATAGGATTGAAAGGTTAAATGGATTATGAAGCTTTGCCATGTTACTGATCTACCACTCTGCTTTTCCCAGTTGAATGTGTGTTATCACTGAGGTCTGATCTTCCAGTTGAACATCTTTGTTAGCTTGTTTTCATGTTTATTTCCTACCTTTAAAGGAATCAAAACCACACTTGCTTAAGGGTCTTGGTCTAGTTTGTTTTTAATATGCAAATAAACATGCTACATGACAAAGGATTATATAATATCTAGCCCTACTAAGAGGCCATGGATTGAGAAGTCTCAGAAAGATTTTAGACAATTAACCCTATAGGGTTGGAATGCTTTCAAAATACACTCTCACCTGGTGGTCCTCCCAACTGTTGTACAGTACAGCAGTATCAATACAGATCAAACAAAGTTGCTGCACAAGTCTTGCCTCTCAATATGTATTTGTCTGTGGTACAAAATGTATATGTATTGTGTTGGATGGGAAATGTTCTTGGGTTTATGAGTGTTGCTGATAATTCCTTTAAAAATATAGGTAAGTGGCCCCTAGCAAAGGAGCAGTCCACTTCATTTGTTTTAAAGGCATGAACATGGAAACGTCATTGAGCATCCATTTCACATCTGATGTGAACCATGTGTTTTGTACCACAGCACAAAAATGTCTTGTGTGAAGTAGTCCTAATAAGCCTATATATTTAGAATACTTTCCAAGAAAGTGTCAGTGATCCCCCCCCCGCTACACACTTCTTTGTACATGTGACTTCAAAAGAAAGGCACTGCCACTTTTACAGTATTCTGCCTTCAATGTTGCATAGAGGGTTTGCTGAAAGCATCTTTGAGAAAAATATTTTTGTAATAATCCCATCTAAAGCTATCTAACGCTAACTGAGAAGTAGTTGATTAAAGCCTTTGGTAGCATATGAAGCCAAAGAAACATACTTGATGTTCCACTGTATATTTATGTTATGGTTTTATTCATTTAGTTTACTGTATACAAAATTTGTTAACTGCAGTCCTGTCAAACACTGCCCATCTCAGCTTTGATCCAAACAAGATGTTTCCCAGATTCCATAAATATAAAATGTGTTACATTTGACCTGTGACACGTCAGAGCTACTGAGAAATGTTGTTCTTTGCCTAAACATCTGTGTTTTGCTTTGGAAAAGTCATTTGATATATGCCTTAGGGTGAAAACTATATGTATGGTACAAAGAATATACTTAGTTAATTTAGTGGAAAGGATTTCTGAGGTAAGATTTTTTTTTTTTACTCTCCTCAATTTTTATTAAAACAATTTGGTTCCGTTTACTTGGACAACTCTATTACAGGAACAAGATAATTGAAAAAAGGCAGTTGTTTAAAATGATGTTGTGTTTCTTTTCACTGGCTTCAAACAGTGAAATAATCTGTCTTCTGAAACTTTCTGCAGTATAAAATCCAGCTCTGCAAACATCTTAATCCCTCTGAATTAAATGGTGCAGCTGGTTTAGAAACCTTGAGTTTGTTAGAATCGGGGCTTCTTGCTGTATTGATAATATATTTATAATACTAGAAAACTGTGGGAGAATTAATGCTGTAGGAAACCTAATTCATTGGAGTGGAATGTAGATCAAGCTTTAAAATTTTCCCCAAATCATAAGATTAAATTTACCTTCCCTTGTTTGAGCAACTGGTTGACTGTGTTCATTAAAATACTGACATCAGTGCTGTTGGTGAGATGATCAAACTCTAGTATATCTCCAGTGGGCAGAATTCCATAGTTACGACAGTATGAGTAACTCCATAGACAGTGTGATACAGATATGCTTTGGCACAGATTGTATACTTAGGGCCTTGGTGTGACTTAGAATTCAGGATGGGATCCTGCGTAAAATTCTGTGGACAGAATGATTTTTGCCTGTGGAGGCACAACTTGCCCACAGCCACCCTCCTGTAACAACCCAAACTACTCCCCATGCTGCTCTGGGGGCATAGAGGACACCCAGCAATAGTTTTGGGGGGAGTCAGAGGTCTGCCATAGAAGGGGGGAATTGGAGAAAATCCATGCTTCCTCTTGCATGTATAGAAATTTTGGGTGGGATCCTGCCCGTTGTGTGTCCTAAATGTCCCATGTCACTTACGGCTTTATATGTCAAAACCAGCAGCTTGAACTGAAGTTATGTTAAACGAAAGTAAAGCTCATCTTTAAAATATTCACTTATAAAATATTTGAGACTGATTTATAGACTGATTATAAAAATATATATTTTAAGTATGTGCTACACGAGATGGGTAACTGTAAACTTTTTAGGCACCCTTCTTTTTTGCTGTCTGAAAGGTTCACGTGCTACCCATCCCCTGCCAGCAGCTGAAAGCAAGAGATGGTCCCCTTTCATTCAAAAAAACAACACCAAAATCATGTGTTTCATTAGAGGTAGAAAAATGTGTACTTCAAATATGGACTCAAAAAACAAAGATAATGCAAATGTATTACTTGAGTAGACCTTCGCTCACAAGTTTATGGAAGATGTGCATATAACAATCTAGCCTTTAATTTGTGGAGAAAGATTTCTGGTTGCTAGGCTATCATTTGTCACTAGATAATTTGCAATCTGCTTTAGTAACTGATTAAGTAGAAAGCAAACAGCAGCCCAGGTAGCAAAGGCCTTCCCTTAGCTCTCTGTGATGATAACAACTCATTGTATTTTACAATCCCGTATATAATCTGCCATTCTTCCAAGCAACCCCTATTGAACCTGAGGGAGATACATGCAGTTCAGACAGAGATGTGAAGGTCTGGGGGAAAAAATGGGAAAAATTAGGGGACCCCCCATAAATGGGGAAAAATTCTTCCCAAGAACTTTTTCAATTTTTTCCCATGGAAAAACTGGGAAATTTTAGAGAATACTTTTAAAAAACCCTCTAGATTCCCCCCCCCCTTTTGGAATGGGTGAAACATGCTAAGATAGCATTGGGTGTTGCAGTTTGCAACTCTGTTGCTTTTGTATTGGGTATAGGAAAGTAAGGTATTTGCACTTTAAAATTCTATAAATATATCAATTAATACAATATATATGCTATGTAAAGTAGCAAAAATATTTATAACAAAAACCCCTGGAAAAACATTTTCCCCATGACTTCAAAAATTTCAGGAGTGTTATGTGTTTAGTTCAGAGGCTTTGCATCCTTGGTACTAGTTAGTGGCCATCATTTAGTGGTCTGCAGTCTTATTATCACCCACTCAGTTATTGTATTAGTGCTTTTTACGGAACCCTTTTGCACATGAAGAATGTTAATGCTCAAGTCAGTGTCAAAGAAAAGCCTTCA